ATAAGGTGAGTTCAAGGCTGTGCTCTGGAAATCTCAAGTGCCTTGTCTCCCCAAAGCCCTGCCGCGATATTTGCAGTAGACCTGCCTGACTGAACTGGGGTGCACTTGAGAGAGACACTCTCATCAAGGTGCATCAGAGACTGACGCCACCCAGGACCTCCACCTACTGCAGCGTATGGTAGTGGATGCCAGCCGGGGGTTGGCGCAGAGTCCCCCACCGGAAACCTGCAAAAAAGCTCAAAGCTCTTGAATGGCTAGTGGCTGGTAACACAGAGCACCGTGCAGAGTCCCCAGGAAGTCTGAAGTCCTGAGGAGCTCTGCTGAGGAAGTGCAAGGATCATCTGCAGGCAGTCTGCCCGGCCTACGTGACTCCCAGGCAATGGACACATCGGTATTGCAACTCCCAGTCTCTGGGTTTGGACTTTGCCACCTTGGGCAGAGTCCATCCTGCAGGCTGGGGTCAGTGTGTGCACCCTGCTAGACTTGCCATGCAATTGACCTTTTGAGTGAAGTCGGAAGTGGTGGGAGTGGAGGAAGCTGCTGACACCGGACATCGGCTTGGTAGGCTGGGAGAAAGGCAGCGGACTTGTGGGGCGGCCACACCTGGAGCAAGAGCACGCGCAGCAAGCGTTTATTTCACAAGTTCCTGGAAAGTTGGGTAGAACTGTTGCATAGAAACCAAACAAAAAGTTCTCCAGGGTGCACAAGCAGACCCTTGTGTTGTCTTGCATTTGGCCTTTAATGCCTGGATGACCAGGGACTCAGTTCTGCAGGAAGCCACCACAGCCCGTTCACAAACAGCCACTGGCTCCCCACTTCCGATAAGTCTATTTCTAAGCACCTCACACTCCATCTCGCCTCTGCTTCACCCATCCCAGTACTTTCCTACTGCCTGTCTTAGGAGCACACCCACACACACACACACACACCTCACCTCCAGTGGGAAAAAAACTTGGGCGACTGTGTCCCCAGCCCTCCCCCCTCTTCAAATTTTTGAATCCAGCCCCACACCTGATCAGCTCACTGAGATCTTATTCCTCAGGACTGAGATGGAAAATCTGTTTGGCTCCCTGGGTCAGACAACTTCCCCGCGCGGGGCCAAGACAGATGGACCAATTGGAGCCAAGCTCCCAGTTCAGAGCAAAGACTTCGTGGAGGAGAAGGGTCAAGTCACCGAGGGCGTCAGGGCAGGGAAAAGACGGTCGGTCCCCTGGAACAACCAGTCTCCCTGAAGTTTTTCTGCGTATCACCCTTTTTCTCACTAGCCCACAAAGTGGCCAGGTGAACCAGAGCCTTGTTTTAGGGCAGTCTGCCTCCCACCAACTCTGTCTCTACTTAGGCAAGTAATAAAGACTTCTGAGATCCCCCTCTGTAAAACAGAGCGGGGCAGTAAGAGCATCTTAGCGCTTATGGCGTCCTAGATTTGATGAAATACGGAATCACTTTTGAGTGCGCTGCCCATGAACAAGCTGTAATATATTTTTTTTTTGTTCTTAAAGATTCCGTTCCCTCTCTCAACCAGTCACTACAAGGCTAAAATGAGACCACGCTTGCCAATCTGTTCAAGCATGCTCAACCCTCGCTTCTCCCATCCCTGTCTTCTAGACAACTTCTTCGGTAGGCAGAGGTGAGCGTTGGACACATGGCGGCTTGCAGACTCGGGATCAGAAAACCCTGGTTTGTTTGTCTGAGGAGGGGGAGGTTCAACACGAAAGGCTAAAGCAAATATTTGTGGTTACGGATTAACCTGACTCCCAGACTGACATGGCGTTCCTGGGACGAAATGGCAGTTTCTTCTCGGCCCACCCCTGTAAGTTCCCCTCAAGGCAAAACTGTGAAGGGCTGTGGAGGAAGAGGGGCGGGGGGAGGAGAGTGGGCCTGTGAGGAAGGTAAAAACCTTGAGCCAAGGTTCTCCAGGCTGACTGAAGCTTGGGGCCAAGGGAAACTGGGCCCAGACTCTATCTAGACCAATGGGTCGGCATTCCCTATAATCCAAGTGGCCCTCTCGACGCGTCAAATTATGTGGATCAAGTGGAGCTCAGCCGAGGTTTTCCATGATCCAGAGCCGTCCTCAGAGGTGTCTCAATACTCAGAACCCCCACTACTCCACTCTACCCTGTCCTCTCAGATAGAACCTATAAACCAGGAAGTCAGCAAAGGAGGACTGTAAGCCGGGAGGGACTGTGTGGCTGGGACAGGCGGGCCTGCCCACCCGATCTTGGGGACACTAGAGGCTTTGCAGGTTGACAATTGGTTTGGGGCAGGGGTTAAGGTTCCAGAGCTAGGGCCACATAGGCTTGGCCTTGAAGCCCAGCTCTGCCCTCCTCCTAGGTGTAGGTTTCTAATAAGCGGCTCATCTCCTCTGGGTTCCTTCTCACGAACTGGGGGAGAAAACATTAATGTCGACCTCTTGGGTGGTTGTAACCCTAGACTATGCAGTAACAGTGAATAGTGATAGCGTGTGTGTGTGTGTGTGTGTGTGTGTGTGTGTGTGTGTGTGTGTTGGGGATTGAACCCAGAGTCTTAAACATGCTAAGTATATTCTCTTCTACTGAGCTGCAACCCCCTCCCCACCAGCATCCAATACTTGTTTAGCAGTTTAAAGGAGGGGTGGGGAGGCTGGGAAGATGGCTCAGTTGAAAAAGTGCTTGCTTTAAGTGTGAGGACCTGAGTTTGATTCCCAGAACACATGTTTAAAAAAAGCAAGCAAGAAAGAAAAAGTCGCGTGTGGTGGCACACACTTACAATCCCAGTGCCAGGGAACAGAAACAAGTAGACGCCCCGGGCTTGCTGGCTAGCCAGCCTACCTGATGAATTCCAGGCTGTGAGAGATCTTGTCTCAAAAAAGAAGGTGGAAGCCAGGCATGGGGATGCACCCCTTGAGTTCCAGCACTCAGGAGGCAGAAGCAGGCAGATGTCTATGAGTTCAAGGCCAGCCTGGTCTACATAGCAAGTTCCAGGACAGCCATGGCTACCTCATAAAACAAACAAATGAAAACCTGGGGAGGGGGGAACGTGGACAAGGCCCGGGGAAGGACAGCAGAGATTACGCCCTGGTCTCCACACGTGCTGCACACATGAGAGGCCTTATGTGCGTTGCTGTTTTTTCTAGCAACTCTTTATAGAAGAAAGGTATTTTATCCATTTTACAAATGAGGACACCGGGGCATGGAGAGTGTAAACATCTCGTCAAATACTGCACACTTGACTCTCTCACTCTCTCTCTCTCTCTCTCTCTCTCTCTCTCTCTCTCTCTCTCTCTCTCTCTCTCTGTCTCCAGAATGAACTGGAATTTGCCCCCAGGCAGTGACTTCTCTGCTTTCAGGTAGCTGGAGTGTGCCTAGCTCTAAAGACCAAATGTCTGCCTGTGTGTCTGTGAACAGTGTAACCCACTCCCAGCCCCAGCTTCCACACAGACAATAAACACACAGATATGCCCTTTCCTCCCTCCCTTTCTTGCTTTTTCTTTCGTGTGTGTGTGTGTGTGTGTGTGTGTGTGTGTGTGTAGGCAAGAGATAAACCTCAGGTATTTTCTTCAGGAGCTATTTACCTTGTTTTTTGAGACAGGGCCTCCTGCTGGCCTGGAGCTGGTCAGGCAGGCTAGCAATTCTGGCTGGCTGGCCAGCAATCCACACGGACCTGCTTGTCTCGGTCTCCCCAGGACTGGGATTGCAAGAATGTGCCACGACACCTAGATTTTTGTTTTAATGTTACGTGGGTTCTGGGGAGCAGACTTCAGTCTTCGTGTCTGCACAGCAAGTGCTTTATTGACTGCGACATCTCCCCTGCTCAGGGGAGACCCTTTCATTCCATCTTTGGGGGGTTGGGGACAGAGCAGCTGTGGGTGTCCTTGGAGCTTAGAGGCTCTCCTCAGACAGGTGTCAGCAGCTCCAGGATGTGGCAAGTGAGAATCTTCCTGCTGTTCGTGTTCACCTGGGGAATTTCTAGCATACCGGCCCCTTTTGGTAAGACTGCCTCCATCCCCCACCCTCCCACCCCACATCCTCCACCCCCCAACCCCATGCAAGACCCTCAGAACCTCCATGGGCTTCCCATGGCACCGGCATAAATGGGCCTCTCTAGAGTTGCCTCAGCTTCCTGAACTTGTGTCCTTCTTCGAATGCCCCATCTACCTATCAAGTCTTTTTCTAGCCTGCCCTGCCCATGCCAGCTCTCTGCCCCCTCGGCTCAGGGGGGCACATCCTCCTCTACACTCCTTGCTCAAGTCCCTCCCTCTTAGCTTTTCTCCTGCCCGAGACAGGTATCTCTCAGAGCTGAGTGGCAGGTCTCTGTTCTCCGGGTGTCTCTGCTCAAGGGGACGAGACGGGGACTGTATGATAGAGGGCGCTGGAAATCAAGGACCGAGACAAGAAGGGCTCACTCACCTATGCTGGGAGAAGTGTGAGACCCATGTCGCTTTGCAGCCTTATTCTTTTATGACTATTATTAGACAACATTATATAAGGCTATTTTTTCGTGTTCACACAACTGCAGTTTGTTGTTGTTGTTGTTGCTGTTTTTTCGAGACAGGGTTTCTCTGTGGTGTTTTGGTGCCTGTCCTGGATCTCGCTTTGTAGACCAGACTGGCCTTGAACTCACAGAGATCCGCCTGGCTCTGCCTCCCAAGTGCTGGGATTAAAGGCGTGCGCCACCACCGCCCGGCTTTTTTTTTGTTTTGTTTTTAAGAAGGTAATTTTTTTTTTTTTTAAGATTTATTTATTATGTACACAGAAGAGGGCGCCAGATCTCATTACAGAGGGTTGTGAGCCACCATGTGGGTGCTGGGAATTGAACTCAGGACCTCTGGAAGACCAGCCAATGCTCTTAACCGCTGAGCCATCTCTCCAGCCCCAGAACTGCAGTTTTAACAGCAGCAGGGTCTGGCATTGCCCCTAAGCATTTTGTTCTGCACAAGACCTTGTTGAGTGCTCCAGGAATGCTCTCAAAGGAAGATCTGTCTGGTGCAGAGCGCCTGCTCTGCAAGATCCATACCGCTGTTCTCCCAGGGGCACCTGGGAACAGAGCAGAAAAGCAGGGCACAGCGTCCTTCCTGAGATGCTGTGAACATTAAGGCCAGAGGGACCAGGGTGAGGTCTTCCCAGGCTCTCTCTAGCTGGGGTTCTGCAGATCCCTTTTGGTCCCTCTTGGGTCCCTCCTCCACCACATTGACTCCCATCCCAAAGCAGACCCAGTGTTCTCCAGCAGTGAGCGTGCCCACCAGGTGCTGCGGGTCAAACGTGCCAACAGCTTCCTGGAGGAGATGCGGCCGGGCAACCTGGAACGGGAGTGTATGGAGGAGATCTGTGACTTTGAGGAGGCCAAGGAGATTTTCCAAAATTTGGATGACACAGTAAGACCACAAGGCTAGGTCGCAAGGGTGGGGCTGGGGGGGGTTGTTGGGGGGGCTGGTGGCTGGATAGGACCTAGAGAAGCAGGGGGCATGACAACTATCATTGGGGGGCCCTTTTTGGAGTCATAAGAATTAGTTGGTCATGTGGGTGCCGACCTTATTTAAAGGCTTGGTCAGGGCACAGAGGACTATAGGAACCAGGACCCTGAAATGCAGCTCAGGGAAAAGGCAACCTGGGCAGCCCTCCGTGGCCACTGGCCACTGCTGCCTCTCTTCCCTGTCTCTCCCTCCCTGTGACCTGGCGACCTTCCTCTCCTCCAAGATACCCTGCACCTTATGGTTATGTGAGTGACCAAGACTCTCTAATGTCTGTCTCCATGGGGCACTCTGAGCCTCGGTCGGTTGAGGCCTAGTTAGAAACAGACTCAGAGCCAGCCAGTCATGTCTCCAGCCCAGATGGTCCAAAGGCAGCTGGGGAATGATGGGGCTGACAGAGGCAGAACAGACTGTAGGATTTAGACACTTTCCACTGAGGAGGCAGTGAGCAGACTCCGGCTGCATGTTGAGGGGTGTAGTGGGGTGGGCAGCAAGGAGCACCACGGCAGCTGTTGGTCTGGAAGCCCTTTCCACACTCCCTGGACAGCTCATATCCAGGAGGAGGCAATGCCTTGCGGGCTTCGCCTAGGTGGTGGTGCTGGGCCCTGACACTCTTCTCTCCTGCCACAGCTGGCCTTCTGGATCAAGTACTTCGGTGAGTGAGTCGTAGACACCTGCATGAAGGATAGTCGATGCTTGTCTCAGGGTCGCGGAGGTTGGAGAGGAAAATGGAGGTACCCACCATCCTCTACTGCCCCATCGCGCTGTCTTTCACAGATGGTGACCAGTGTGCGGCTCCGCCCTCGGACCACCAGTGCGACAGCCCGTGCTGCGGGCATGGCACATGCATCGACAGCCTGGGCAGTTACATCTGCTTCTGCGATAAGGGCTGGGAGGGCAGGTTCTGCCAGCAGGGTGAGGGGACCTCGGCGGCGGCCGGCCGAGGCAGCAAGGTGGGCTGAGGTGGGATCTGGAACCAGTAGGGCCACCACGAGCTATCCGCACTCTCCTGTCGCACAGAGCAGGGCTTCTACAACTGCCAGGTGAACAACGGAGGCTGCCTGCACTACTGTCTAGAGGAGGGCGGCAGTCGGCGCTGCACCTGCGCTCCAGGCTATGAGCTGGCAGATGACCACATGCGCTGCAAGTCCACCGGTGAGCCAAGGCAGGCCTGCAGAGAGCGCCCGCCCGGCCAACACAGGCCAGGAGGGAGCGCGTTCCCAGAAATCAGGCACATCTTGGGGACCCTAAGACAGGTGGACATACCTCGCTCCCCTCTCACCCATGACCCTGTGTGTAGACTCTTGCCTGTTTGCCAGCCTCGCCATACCCTGGAGCACAACTATCGTCTTCCTCTGTCTCTCTGCCTCTGCCTCTGTCACACACACACACACACACACACACACACACACACACACACACACACACACACTCTGAGGGGACCTAGGAATCAGGTCATCAGTATCTTCCTTCACCTACCCTTCTGGATGTGTTACTTCCTCTCAGAACCCTGGTTTTGCCTTCCTTTTCAATTTTCCTTGAATTTTTCTTTTGAATAAGTTTACTTATGTGTGTAGTTTAAAAAGTCAGGGTAGCCCAGCAGGGGTCATGCACGCCTTTAATCTCAGTACTCGGGAGGCAGAAGCAGGTGGATCTCTGTGAGTTCAAGGCCAGAGCGAGTTCTAGGACAGCCAAGGCTACACAAAAAAACTCCATCTCAAAAAAAAAAAGTAAGATTAAAAAAGAAAAAAGAGCCGGGCGGTGGTGGCACACGTCTTTAATCCCAGCACTCAGGAGGCAGAGCCAGGCGGATCTCTGTGAGTTCGAGGCCAGCCTGGGCTACCAAGTGAGTTCCAGGAAAGGCGCAAAGCTACACAGAGAAACCCTGTCTCGAAAAACCAAAAAAAAAAAAAAAAAAAAAGAATATTGTTTAAAAAATAGATCTTACCCCTATAAAACCTTAGTAAAGTGTTATAAATTATTAGCATTTAAATATCAAGAGTTTTTAAAAAAATTTTTTGTTTTATTTTCAGACAGGGTTTCTCTATGTTTCCCTGACTGTCCTGGAACTCACTCTGTAGACCAGGCTGGCCTCGAACTCACAGAGATCCACCTGCCTCTGCCTTCTGAGTGCTGGGATTAAAGGTGTGAACCACCACTGCCTGGCTGAGTTTAAAATTTTTTAATTAAAGATGTTTCACATATAATCTGTATGTATAAAATAAATATGTGAACATGGAACCTGTAAAATATAATTTTTATACAAATGTGATCCACATCCTTTCTTTCTCTCCTTAGAAAACAGGTATCTAAGGAATAATAATTTAAAAAAAGATAAATTTTAAAAATTGAAATATGACAAAACAGGTAAGAAAAAGAGCCAAAGGAAAAACACAAGAAATGCATGTAGATGCACACACATATGCACACACATATGCACACACATATGCACACACATATGCACACACATATGCACACACTCACACATGCACACACATTTGCACACACAGGAATCCCATAAAAACCCCAAACTGGAGGCCATAATATATATGCTGAGGATCTGTAAGGTTAAAAAAAAAAAAAAAGCCCTGACTTAGCATTATGAAAGAACCTCCAGTTGACTTCCTCCTGTGTTGGCCATCTACTGCTGGGCATCGGGCCAATACTTAAGAGAGGTTTGTTTCCCCAGTCAGGTTCCCTTGGGGGAAACTTACTTTTCATTTGCAAGTGGCTATCAATTGGAGTTAGCTTCTGGGTTAGGGATGGGGCATGTGTCCACTTCTCCTCTCGGCTCAGGGCCCCATCTGGTGCAGCCCCGAGCAGGCCCTGTGCATGCTGACAGTCTCTGTGAGTTCGTATGTTGTGTCTAGAAGGCCTTGATTCCTCGGTGTCCTCCATCCCCTCTGGCTCTTACACTCTTTCTGTCTCCTCTTCCACAGAGTTCCCTGAGCCCTGAGGGGAGGGATTTGGTGGATTCATCCCTTTTAGGGCCGAATATTCCAAGGTCTCTCACTCTCTGCATGTTGTCTGGCTGTGGGTCTCTCTCTTTGTCTCACCTCCTGCAGGAGGAAGCTTCTCTGATGATGGTTGAGCAAGGCACTGATCTATGAGGACAGCAGATGTCATTAGGAGTCATTGGATTGCTGTGTTCCTTTAGAGAGCAGTGGTATTTGGTTCCCCCCTTGTCTCTGGCCTATCTAGTCTTGGGTTTTTGGCCACCCAAGCAGCACCGGGTGTGGGCTCCACCTCATGGAGTGGGCCTTAAGTCAAATCAGACATTGGTTGGTTACTCCCACAAGCTTTGTGCCACTGCTGACCCAGTGTGCCTTGCGGGCAGGGCACTCTTGTAGATGGAAGGGTCTGTAGCTGGGTTGGTTTTTCCCCTTCTCCTTGGGCAGCACGCAGAGTACCATGGATACTAGTCCATGGGGCGAAGGCTCTGGGGAGGCACCGCAGTAATTCTCCATGCTCAATGAGTTTTGTGGGTGTTGTCAGCAGCAACAGGGCCTTAATTTACCGTCAGTTTGTGGAGAACCAACAACAACCTTGGCACTAGGCTGGGTTGTTTGGAGGTTCCCATGGGATACCTTTGGCAAAGAACTCAATTAGATGTAATCCATTCCTGGTACTGGAAGCTTCCTTTGGTGGCAAGAAACATCCAGTTGTCCCTCTGTCTCCCTTATTATTCGGCAATTTCATTTAGATTGCCTTCATATATGTGTATACTATAAGAAGCTTCTACTGTGCTAGGTTTCCATATGACCCCTCAAATGGCCCTTAGTTTTAGCCATCGCTCCCCATGTTCCTACCTCACCCCATCTCCCCTCCCCTCTCTGTTCGGTCCTCCCATTCCAGGCCCTTCTCTATCTAGTCCATCCATGACTATTTATTCTATTTCCCCTTCCTAGGGAGATCCATCCCTCCTCCATAGTCCCTTAGTCCCTACTTAACCTCTGTGGTTATATGGACTGTAGCTTGCTTGTCAATGACTTAACAACTAGCATCCACATATAAGAGAAGACAGACCATATTTGTCTTTCTGGGTCTGAGTTACCTCACTCAGGATGATTTTTTTTCTAGTTCCATCCATTTACTTGTGAATTTTATGGTTTATTCATTTATTTACTTTAGATCTGAGTAATATTTCATTGTGTAAACATACCACATTATTTTCATCCATTTATCTACTGACAAACATGTAAGTTGTTTCCAGTTTCTGGCTATTATGAATATGGTTGAGCAGGTGTCTCTGTAGAAGGATGAAGCATCCTTTTGGTGTATGCCCAAGTGGTATAACTGGATCTTGAGAGAGATGAGTCCCATCTTCCTGAGGGACTGCCACACTGATTTCCATAGTGACTGCACAAGTTTTTATTCCCACCAGCAATGGGTGCACGTTCCCCTTACTTCACATCTTCAGCAGAATGAGCTGTCATTAGTTTTATTGATCTTGGCCATTCTGATTAGTGTAAGACGAAATTTCAGAGTAGTTTGATTTACATTTCCCTCCTGACTAAGGATGCTGAAATTTTCTTTCAGTGCTTCTCAGCCATTTGTGTGAATTCCTTTTTTGAGAATTCTGTTTAGATCCATATGCAATTTTTAAATTGGGTTGTTTGTTTTCTTGATGTCCATTTTTTTGAGTTCTTTACACATTTTAAATATCAGCCCTCTGTCAGATGTGTAGTTGGTAAAGATCGTTTCCCATTTTGTAGCCTGCCACTTTGTCCGAATAATGGTGTCCTTTGCCTTACAGAAGCTTTTCCGTTTCATGAGGTCCCATTTATTAATGTTGATCTAGGTGCCTGTAATATTGGTGTTCCATTCAGAAAGTCTTTGCCTGCATAAATGAGTTCAAGGCTATTACCTTCTTTCTCTTCTGTCAGGTTCAGTGTGTCTGTCCTTATGTTAAGGTCTTTGATCCATTTGTCATTGAGTTTTGTGCGGAGCGCTAAATATAGATCTATTCGCATTCTTCTACATGCAACCATCCAATTTGACCAACACCATTTGCCTTTCTTTCTCCATCCATTGTGATTGAAAGTTCTACTGATATAGTACTCTGGGCTGGCATCTGTGGTCTCTTAGAGTGTGTAGGGCATCTGTCCAGGGCCTTCTGGCTTTTAGAGTCTCCATGGAGAAGTCAGGTGTTATTCTTACAGGTTTGCCTTTGTTATCTGCCCTTTCCCCTTTTCCTTTCCAGCTTTTAATATTTTTTGTTCTGTATGTTTATTGTTTTGATTATTGTGTGAGGAGGGGAGTTCATTTTTCTGGTCCACTCTGTTTGGTGTTCTGTATGCTTCTTGTACCTTAATAGTTATCTCCTTTTTGAGGTTGGGGAAATTTTCTTCTATGATTTTGTGGAAAACATTTTCTGTGTCTTTGGCCTGTGTGCCTTCTCCTTCCTCTATTCCTATTATTCCTAGACTTGGTCTTCTCACAGTGTCCCAGATTTCCTGGATATTTTGTGCCTGGATTTTTTTTTTATTTATTTAACACTTACTTTGACCGAGGTGTCTGTTTCTTCTATCTTATCTTCAATGCCTGGGATTCTCTCTTCCATCTCTTGTATTCTGTTGATGACGGTTGCCTCTGAGTTTCCTGCTCAGGTTCCTACATTTTTCACTTGCAGTTTTCCCTCAGTTTGAATTGTATTTATTGATTCTATTTGCACTTGTAAGTCTTGAACTGTGTTCTTCTTCTCATTACACTGTTATTGTTCTCACAGATTTCTTTAGCGGATTTGTCCATTTCCTCTCTAAGGGAATGAACAGAGTGTATTCATAAAGGCCGTTTTTGAAGTCCTTGTCTGGTGCTTCAACTACATTGCATTGCTCAGGGCCTGCCGTGGTAGGGTTGCTGGGCTTTAGTGGAGATGTATTGTTGTTGTGTTTTTACACCAGTGTCTAAGCATCTGGGTTTGGGGTGATTGTAATTGTAGGAGTTGATGGTGTTCTCGTCTTTGGTTTCTGTTGCCCTTTCTGGTTCTTAAGGAGTGCCATGGCTATGGGTTGCCTGGTAGGGAGCACATTTGGGATCCTGCCAGATATGGCCACTGGGTATTCAAGGAGTGCCTGTGGAAGTTGGAGGCTGAGATAGCAGGATGGGGTGCTGAGGGAGCCTGTAGAAGATCCTGTCATCTGCCGGAGGTGGGGCTCAGAGGAAGGGGAGGCTACACAGCGGTATGCTGCCGAGATGTGGATGAGCGGGAGGATTGGATGTGGAAAAGAGGAGGGAGACCGAGAGCCTGAAGGTCGCCTACCTGCTTCCCTGCGTTTTGATGTTGTTGATGCTCCCCGCTGTGCTCTCTCTGTTGTGTCTTTCTGGATCTCTTACAACATTCACGCTTAGTGCCTCTTCTATTTCCCACGTCCCACTATTTTCCCGAAACAGTCTTCTCATGTATCCCAAGCTGGCACTGAACTCATTGTGTTGCTGGCGATGACTGATTTTCCTATTCTCCTGCCTTTACCTCCAGAGTGCTGGGACTACGGCCATGCACACCTGATTTTATTTGGTGCTGGGGTGAAACTCAGAGCTTTAAACATGCCAGGCAAGCACTCTACCAACTGAGCTTTGTCCCCAGCCCTGACTTCGCATTTTTTCAGGAAACTATTTACAACTCTATCTTCTAGCCCCTGTACGGAAACACACTTTTAAACTCTGTAATTATTTTGGAGATTTGTTTATTTTATGTGTATGGGTATTTTGCCTGTGTGTGTATATATGTGCACCACATGCATGTCTGTTGCCATGGATCCTGGAACTGGAGTTACAGACAGTTGTGAGTCACCATGTGGTTGCTGGGAATTGAACCTGGGTCTCCCAGAGGAGCAGTCAGTGCTCCCAAATGCTGAAACGTTTCTCCAGGTCCTCAACTTCGTATTTTGAACTGATTGTATATCGATAGGAAATTTCAAGAAGTCCCCATGGGCATGCCTTCCTGCAGGCTAGAGTTACTGGCAGAAACTTGGCTCAGATCCTTCGGTCTTACCACCATGGCAGGGTTTGGGAAGGGTGCCTACGAGGCTGGTGGGTGGCAGAGGCCCTGCCATCTTTGCAGCCTGTGGTCTCTTAACCATGCCACTCTTTGCTATACAACTACCTGAAGTCCCTTTCTCACGGCCTCTTCTGGTTCACCTTCTGTATGGATGGGCTCTGTAGGTGAGAAAAGGGGAGTCAAGCCACGAGGAGGGCCCTCCAAACCCCTCTTGTCGGCTCACACCATGCCCCAGGTGCAGTCATAGCTGAACTGCCCCCACCCCAGGGGTTTAGAGGACTCCTAAAGGATACTGTGTATGAAATCCCAGTCTCTGGGAACTTTGCTCCTAGGAGGGACTTTTGCTTCTCAGTTTGCCAAGTCAGGTACTGTGTCTACCTACTGGCCGGCTTCTGGAATTTCATTGCTGCTGCCTGCTTTCCATTCTGTCATTCCTTACTTGCCCTGAAGATGGCGTCCCTCTGTTTCACCAGTTAGATTTCCCCCAACTAGCATTCAACACTCATAGGAGCAGATCTTGCAGATCATCAGCCCCCGGATTTCCATGATGTGCCCACTGCTATGGGAAGAGAGGCTTCAAAGTGATGCTTTCCGAGAATCACCCAGGGCTGGAGACAGCTCGGTTGATAAAGAGCTTCCATTCAAGCACAAGTTTGGACCCTGGCATCCGCATAAAAAAGCCAAACATGGTTGTGTGCGTGCGCCTGTAACCTCAGAATGCTGGCAGGGAGGGCAGAGACAGTAGGATCCCGAGGAGTCACCGGTCAGTCAAGCTCTATACTCAGTGAGAGCTTGTCTCAAAACTAAGGCATAGAAACAAGAAAGACACTCAATGTTGACCTCCGGCTTCTACATGCATGTGCAACTGGACACACGCGCACGCGCACACACACACACACACACACACACACACACACCCTTCTGGGGCTGGTAAAATGTCTCAGCAGTTTAGAATACTTGCTGTTCTTGCAGAGGACCCTAATTTGATTCCCATCACCTACGTGACAGCTCACAACTGTTCTTAGCTCCAGTTTCAGAGGATCTGACGACTTCTTCCTGCCTCTGAGGGTACCAAACACACACAGTGTACTTAAATACAGTGTACTTGCATACACGCAAGCCAAACACTTAGGAAAAAAAAAGAGAATACTTAGCTCTTTCTCCATAATCTGCCCCCCCCCCCCACACACACACTTTGAGAGAGGGTCACATGTAATGCAGACTGACTTAAAACTCACTATGTAGCCTAGGATGATCTTGAACTTCAGATTCTTCTGTTCTACCTTCCCAGTGCTGTGGTTATAGATGTGCGTTACTCTGTTTGGTTTATGCAGTACTGGGGATCTAACCCAGGGACTTATGTGTGTTAGGCAAGCATTCTAGAAACTAAGTTCTATTTCCCAGATCAGTCCATGTAATTTATTATCCCCCTAGGAGCTTGGTAGTATCCGAACAGGAGCCTTCCTTTATGTATCTTGGGGATGATCAACCATAGCCCTGGAGTATGAGTCTGGGATATCGTTCCTCATCAGTTCAGGGACACTTAGGTAGTAATAGTGCTTGGCCAGTTCTCACCAGTAGGTGGCACTATGTGATTGTGAGTCCCAAGCTGCACTTCTTGAATCCTCCATGGTGGCAGCCTAGCCTGCCGAGGACAGACGGGCCTGGGGAGCCTTGCCTGGGAGGCCCTTTACCACCTCTCTTTTACGTTTAGTGAATTTCCCATGCGGGAAGCTGGGGAGGCGGATAGAGAAGAAACGGAAGAACGTCAAACGGGACACAGACCCAGAAGATGAACAAGAAGTAGACCCAAGGATCGTCAACGGAACGCTGACGAAGCAGGGAGACAGTCCTTGGCAGGTGAGGGGGAGACAGTCTTCTGGGACCCCTGCTGGCTCGAGACAAGTGTTGCTGCTTGAGGGGACAGGGTGAGAGCTGGTAAGGCTAGGAGCTGGCATGTGTCTTAGTTAGAGTTACTGGTGCTGTGACACAACACCATGACCAAAGAAACTTGGGAAGGAAAGAGTTTGTTCGGCTTACATTTCTACATTACAGTCCACAATCAAAGGAAATCAGGACAGGGATTCAAGCAGGGCAGGGACCTGGGGCCAGAAACTGATGCAGAGACCATGGAGGGGTGCTGCTCACTGGCTTGCTCTCCAGGCTCCCTCAGCCCGCTTTGTTATAGAACCCAGGACACCAGCCCATGTGTTGCCGCACCCGCAATGGGCTGGGCCATCCTCCGTCAATCACAAACTAAGAAGGTGCCTTCCAATTGGATCTTAGGAGGCATTTTCTCAATTGAGTGTCCCTCCTTTGGGATGTCTCCAACTTGTGTCAAGGTGACATAAAACTAGCCAGCACAGCATAGACGGGAGCAAGCAGGAGGAAGCGTTCCAGTGCTGAGGAAGGGATGGAGAGACAGAGCTTTTGTGTTTCCGGAGCAGGGTCTTGTATAGGAGAGCTAGAAGGGAGTGCTGACCCGAGCATCCCCAGCTTCCCCAGACATAGGAGTGAAAATTGGTTGTTTCTCACCTTCGCCGGGCTCTGGATGAGGAGTATACTAGTAGTTCACCGATCTGGGGAGCTTAGAAAACTCTGGAAATAGCTCAGTAGGATGAGAATCAGGATGGCCATCAGGACAGGGGCAGAGGGAGGCCCAAGAGAGATACCTCAAGCAGCCTGAGTGCCACAAAGGTTTCCCTGAGGATGCAAGGCCTGGCCCAAGCCCCAGCAGGAGAGCGCTTTGACCCTGGTCTGGCAGAAGGTGATTATAGGAACTGCATAGGCTATGTCGGGGAGATGCCCTGACACAGGCCAACACCAGACCGTGTAACAAAGAGAAAACACTGGGAAAGACCTTAAGTCTATGTGTGCCAGTGGGACCAGGAACCTAGGGGAGTGCTTGAGAACTACTGAGAGCCATGTAAGACTTGGATCCCGTGCTAGGAGTTGTCAGAGGCAGCCCTGTGATGTTACTTTCAGGCAATCCTTCTGGACTCCAAGAAGAAACTGGCCTGCGGAGGAGTGCTCATCCACAACTCCTGGGTGCTGACGGCGGCCCACTGCATGGAGAACACCAAGAAGCTTACCGTGAGGCTTGGTGAGGGCTGCAGCCAGAGGCCAGGGATGGAGCAGGGGAAACAGGCTTGCTGCCCCAGGGTTGGCGATGCTGACAGTGACTTAGGCTCCACAGAGGACTCTTGGGGGACAGAGGCATCTGTGTTAGCACGGGTTCACACTGGGACTCCAGTCAGCTGGGAGATTTTCTGAAGCTCATTTCAGACCTAGGTCCATACGTTTGTAAGTGAGGGGTGTCACACATCCAGGTCTCCTCACTCCCAGTCCTAGGGAGCCAGCTCTGTGTAGGCCTCAGCACCTGGCCATGGTCAGACCTAGAATACTGTGTGACCTTCACATAGACTGACAAGGTGGAGCAGCGCAACACTGGCCTGCCTTGCTAGCTGCTCCCCCAGGAGTCTGAGGGTCCCCAAGTCTAGGCCCTACTCTGTGATGATTTCTGGAGGGACTTTTAGCAGACACTACACCAAAAAGAAGAAAAGTGGGCCAAGGAATGGCCTAGGGGTCAAGATGAAGACTCTAGTTCAATGCCCAGCACCCACATGGAATCCAGATGTGGTAGTGTACGGCTAAGAGGCAGAGACAGGAGGGTCCCTGGCCTGCTGACCAGCCAGTCTAGCTGCATCTGTGACCTTCAGCTTCAGTGAGAGGTTCTGCCTCAAATATAAGGTGGAGAGCAATCGAGGAAGACACTCAACATTGATCTTTGGCCTCTGTATGTACTCACACACACGCACAGGCACCCTCACACACAGGCATCCTCCATGGACACAAGCACATACATACATATGCAAGCTCATACATAATAAGAGAAAGGGTGTCCTGAGAATGACAAAAGTGATATAATATACCTTCAGCGTGGACAATGGTCTGTGGCCCTGCTTCCCGGAGCCATCAACTGGTAGGGAGGACCTGTCTCTTCTCTGTGGTCCAGACCATTCTTCCTAGCAGTGTCTGGGGCTTGCTGATGATCCCCTTTGGGTCTGGCCGCCATGGACCTAGTCTCTCCAGCAGTGTTGATCTTTGTTCTCTTCCTGTCGTCTACAGGCGTCTCTGGCTTCTCTGCTCTTTCCACTGTGAATTCTGAATGCAGAGCAGCCCCCTGCCCCTTAGGAACTTATGCCCTTGGGCCCATCTCCTAATGCTCCTGGCAGGAAAACTCACCTCTGCTAAGGATCTGGGGCACAGGGACCCAGCTCAGGACTTCTGGGCAGCAGAAGCACTGAGGTCAGGCAGGCTCCTCCCGCCCCCTCCCAGCCTACTCTGATAGCATCCTTGCTTTGCAGGTGAGTATGATCTGCGGCGCAGGGACCACTGGGAATTGGACCTGGACATCAAGGAGGTCCTCGTCCACCCTAACTACAGTCGGAGCACCAGTGACAATGACATCGCCCTGCTCCGCCTGGCCCAGCCAGCCACTCTCTCTAAGACCATCGTGCCCATCTGCCTGCCGGACAATGGCCTGGCAGAGCGGGAGCTCACTCAGGCCGGCCGGGAGACGGTGGTGACGGGCTGGGGCTACCAGAGTGACCGAGACAAAGACGGGAGGAGGAACCGCACCTCTGTCCTCACCTTCATCCGCATCCCTGTGGCCCCACGGAATGAGTGCATGCAGGTCATGAACAATGTGGTCTCGGAGAACATGCTGTGTGCGGGCATCCTTGGTGACAGTAGAGACGCCTGTGACGGGGACAGTGGGGGACCTATGGTGGTCTTCTTTCGGGGCACCTGGTTCCTTGTGGGCCTAGTGAGCTGGGGTGAGGGCTGTGGGCACCTCAACAACTATGGCGTCTACACTAAAGTGAGCCGCTACCTAGAATGGATCCACAGCCACATTGACGACAAGGATGCCTCCCCGAAGAGCCAGAGGGTGTAGCACCTCTCCCTGCTCATGCCTGGACCTCACTCTTAGAGTGAGGCTGGGCTAGTGAATACCACAGCAGAGGACATTAAAGGGGCATGTAACAAACATACCCACTTGAGTTCCTGTCAGTCTTTCCATCCTTTTTGTGGGCCATACTGGAGAAAAGTAACATTAATTGAGCATCTACTATACACCAGGTGCTTTATGAAAAGAACCTGCTTAACTCCCAAAGCAGTTCTGTGGGGTGGGGGTAGGGGAAGATCCAGCAGGATCTGAGGCTGATATAACTTGGGAAGGGTGGTTTATAGACAGGAATTTTTTTTTAATGTCACTACAAGAGACTAGAGCCTTTCTCGGGGTCTCAGAAAGACCAGTGCTAGTTGCACATTAGAAAAGCTTACCGGTAGCCTATGACAGAGGCAGGTGGGGCTCAGAAGGGCCATGTGGTGGAGCCAGGATTCAAACCAAGGACACACTCCCAAGCTCAGCTGCTTCTCCATTGCTCCTGGGAGCAGCTGGAGTGTGGGGTGGGGTGGTGGGGGTGGGGGGTGCGTGTGTGTGTATATGGGTGTGCATGCACATATGTGTGTTTGGAGGCAGGAGGACAACTTCATGTGTTGTTTCTCAAGCACTGTCCACTTTTTTTTTTCGGCCCAGAATATCTCACCGGCCTGAAATCTATGCAGCAGGCTAGGCTGGGTGGCCAGCGAGCCCCCCACCCCCACCCCCAGCTTTGACAAGTGGAGACAGAGGATCAGTAGCCCACTGGGGAAGTAGCCAGATGTCCAGAAGGTGCTGCTCAAAATGACCTTACAGCCCTGGTGAGGAACCTGTTTAAGAATGAAGTTATGAGCCAGGCGGTGGTGGCGCACGCCTTTAATCCCAGCACTCGGGAGGCAGAGCCAGGTGGATCTCTGTGAGTTCGAGGCCAGCCTGGGCTACCAAGTGAGTCCCAGGAAAGGCGCAAAGCTACACAGAGAAACCCTGTCTCGAAAAAACCAAAAAAAAAAAAAAAAAAAAAAAAAAAAAGAATGAAGTTATGAGCTGGGTGTGGTGGTAGCACCTGTATTTCCCACTGTTCATGGAGCCATAACACCCACACACACACTTTTTCCCCAACTTTCTCAGGCCTTACATGGAAATATGGGCCCAGGTTGGAATGCCAAAATGTAGTGGTTTCACACACACACACACACACACACACACACACACACACACACACACACTTCGAGGGCCTACCAACCAGCTCCCAAATAAATACATGGAGACTTATTCTTACTTATGAATGCCTGGCCTTAGCTTGGCTTGTTTCTAGCCAGTTTTTCTAACTTAAGTTATCCTGTCTACCTTTTGCCTCTGGGCTTTACGTTTGTTCTATGTATCTCTTTCCTTCCCACTCTGTGACTGGCTGGGTGGCTGGGTGGCTGGCCCCTGGCGTCCTCCTCTCCTCCTTTTCTCACACCTCCCTCTTCTCCCAGGCCTAGATTTTTCCTGTTTATTCTCTCTGCCCGCCAGCCCCACCTGTTTCTCTCTCCTGCCTAGCTATTGGCCATTCAGCTCTTTATTAGCTCATTAAGTGCCCCGGCCAGTGGGGTATCAACGGGGGCGACCCACCTGTGGGAGAGAATGAGAGGGATGGGGGAGACACGAGAGAAGACAGCAAGACAGTGTGTTCTGATCAAGCTGCAAATTTTATTCTCCTCAGCAAGGCTTATATAGCATGGGAGGGGGAGGGAAAGGGCTATGTGCAAGTCGTGAGGCTGCTAGGTGGTAAGGTCACTGGTCAGGGCCCATTGTTCTGTTGCTATGCTACCTGACCTGCCTGACCTGTTCTTTATCTTCGGGGGCATCCGGTTTAGGGTAGGGGCTTGTTCTCTGGCTTAGCTAGTACTTTTCCATGGTCCATGTTTGGTCTCTGACAATTAAGGTGTTTTAGACAAGTAAAGTAACACAGCTTTACAGAGTTAAACAAAAATGCAACATAAAAGAATGCAACACATCTTTGCATCATTAAATAAGCATTCCACAGCATAAACACATGTAACAATCTTAAAATACTATTCCATAACAGGAAGCAGCCTGCTCATTCTCCCCTGGCCACAGCTTCCCAATGGAGCTGACATCAGACTTCTGTCTGGGCCTTTCCACAGCCATGCACCCTCTGCCCAAAGGAGCCCCCTGCTGCCTCTTTCTCTCACTTTTTTAACAGAGACATTCAGCTGTGCTTCATGAATGACCTGCTCACCACGCTAAGTAGCGAATGCATCAGGTTGGATGGAAAATAAGACCTTGCAAAAACTCAGCTTTGTTATAGGAGATGTCAATTTGTAGTGTGATTTAAATAGCCAGGAGTGTCCAGGGACAGATTCTGAGAAGGTGGGACTTACACTATGCTACAGGGCTATGTTGGTTTCTAGAACTCAGACATTCTCGTTTATTAATATTCTATGTAGTGATCCCTGACGACCATCCCAAAGGAAAAATAGAGATCCAAGTTATATGAAACTGAAGCAGCAGGCAACAGTCAGAAAAGGGGAGAAGACACCAGTGTGATCATTAATACCCATTTCTGGCTGGAATATTTTTTTAAATCCTTTTTCTGATGTTTTTCCATTTGTGGAAAGAATGAAATGGTACAAAGAACACATCCCTCTGGTTTTCCAACATTTGGCTCATTGAGAAGAGAGGATTTCTCCACACTCTAGAAATGGGAGTGCTTTTCCATGCATTAAACAGAAGTCACATTGTGTTAAGAAAACCTTTGTTGTTAGCCAGGCCTAGTGATGCACATCTTTAGTTGCAGCACTGGGGAGGCAGAGGCAGGTGGAGCTCTGTGAGTTTGAGGAGGCCAGCCTGGGCTGCAGAGCGAGTTCTAGACGAGTCAAGGTTACACAGTGAGGCCCTGTCACAAAACAACTGCATATGGAACAGACAACAAACCACCACTGAAACCTTCGCTGTTTCGTTAGATTGGAAGCAGCTAAAAGACACAGGCCGCAGAAAGGAGACTAGAGAGACTGACTCAGCTGGACTGGTCATTTCAAACATCAGTGGGCAGGCACAGCGGTAAGGAGTGTCTGCCAGAGCGGGAGGGGAGACTTTGGGTTTATATGGGAGGTTTGGGAAATACAACTGCTGGGGCGACATATAAGCCCACAGTTTCTCTCTCCTGGAGCTGTTTGTCCAAACAAGAGCACTTTATCTTTAGAAACTGCCTTACCCCAGCTATCAGGATGTGGGTGGGTCACAGTGGGTGCCTGAGTTTGGTAATGGCAGCAATGGGGCTGTGGAGTTTCAGTATAGGGCTTTGGTCAGGATCTGGCTGAGTTTGTCCAAGGTTTATTCTAATAGTTATATGGAGACAAACTGCCACATTTTTGCTTATTAGGTGGTGGTGTATTTATTTTTGTTGTTTTGTTTTTAATTTTTAAAGATTTCATTTTGTGTGGAGTGTTTTGCCTGCATGATTATATGTGTACCATGTGCATGCCTAGTACCTGTAGAGGACAGAGAGGGCATCGGATCACTTGGAACTGGAGCTATGGATGGTTGTGAACTATCATGTGGATTCCGGGCACTGAACCCTGGTCTCCTGCAAGAGCAACAAGTGCTCTTAATGGCTGAGCATTTTCTCCAGCCCCAAGTGGGAAATTTGTTTAACAGAATTTTCCATTCAAAAAACGTTTACAGGGCAGCAAGATGGCTCAGCAGGTAAGAACTCTTGCCGCACAAGCCAGGCAACCCGAACCCCACACCTGCAGCCATGTGAAACAGCAGATGTAGTGGTGTGCATCTATAATTCCAACACTCCCATTTCGAGAAAAAACTGTCTGGAGCAGCTAGCCTGTAGTATACAGCATTGCAGGAATCCTGCCTCAAAACAAAGTGAAACAAAGCCAACTCCTGAAAGTTGTCCCTTGATCTCCACATATACACCATGGCACACAAATACATCTCCACATATACACACTCACACATATACATCATATATAAACAGACACATACAGAACAGTAAAAATTTTTGAATGTTTGCTTATATTGAAGTAGAATAAAGCAGAAAAGACCAACTATTAGATACTGGTTTATCAGTTTATTCAGTGATTTACTCAAAGCGTTGCTTGTACTGTTTACCAAGCATGACTTCACTTGCTACCTGGAACGTAATGACCTGGAGACATAGCTGAAAGGTCATTGCCCTTAACAACCTGGTGACTGCCACATATACTTCCGTAAAATCTTACTTCTTTGCCCACCTCACCTTATGGTTTGAGTATAAAATGAGAATGCAAACTGGCCCCGGGACTGAAGCCTTCCAGGAGCTATCCTGGCTTCGGACCACCAGAGAGATCTCTCTTCCACTCTCATTGGTGCTGGAATGCTTATTCCAGAATGATTCCGGCAACAGTCTCATTTTACATGGTGATACTGGGGCTGTTTATGGAGCAGCGTGTGTTGTTGACGTTTAAGTATGAAGCAATATGCTGCTGGTAACGACGAGTGCATTTTATCACTCCCTGAACAAAGCTGCCAAATAAACACAGATTCGCACTTTCATCTTCAGTAGATCTGTGGAGTGTTTCAAAAGCAGTTTGGGGAAACATTAAAGCGTGGTTTCTGAAACAGCGCACGCCTGTGGCTGACCAGACTTTCCTGCTTCTGCACAATCTCATTCTTCTCAGCAATGTCAATGACATGTAAGGAAAAGGAGATAATATTCTTAAGTTCAAGTTTAGATTGGTCAAAATAAGTTATTGTCTACTCAGCCATAAGTGAGATAGCTATATCACCCCCTCCAAGGCTCAGGGGACATCAGAAGGGGCAGAAAGAATGTGAGAGCTGGAGGAAGTGGCGGAATGTTGTAGAATGCTGTCTTCCAGGCATGACATGGATGTTGCTTTTATCTTTTCCCTTCTTCTTCTTCTTCTTCTTCTTCTTCTTCTTCTTCTTCTTCTTCTTCTTCTTCTTCTTCTTCTTCTTCTTCTTCTTCTTCTTCTTCTTCTTCTTCTTCTTCTTCTTCTTCTTCTAAGACAAGGCTTCTCTGTGTAGCCCTGGCTGTCCTGGGTAGACCAGGCTGGCCTCTAACTCAGAAAGATGCGCCTGCCCCGCCTC